TACTTTTCATTAAAATTTGAATTGTGAATAAACAGTTATGTTATGTTAAGACTAACGGTTGAAATCCGTCAATTTTTACGACTAACAGCAAAATGTTTTTGCTATATTACGGTTAACAGTTAGCCCCATTGAGACCCTCCTACATGTATTACAGTTCACTGACATGCATTAGTACTACATGCACTATTGAAGCAGCAATATGGTAAAGCTAATAACCTCTGGTAGCGCGATGTGGTCATCGTAACTCTGAGGTGGTTTACACAAAGGCTCCTCAACGTTCGACACACAAACTCAATTTACAAACTTCATGTGTACACCTTGTTCTGAATTAGAGCACAATTTGACGCTTGCGGGGCCTTAACACATCAAGGTTGTAAATGGATACGATTAAAAATGGCTAAGCACTCTGATAAAATGCTAGAGTTGTATCCAAGATTCACGACAGTACCGCGCACTTGATGCACGTGTAAATCCCGAGGACTGCAAGCGCGCACCACGAAACTACACATAACATGAAACAGTACCTGTAATTTTGCATATGTACCAAAATTTGAAAGTTTCTAAGACCAGGATGAGCTTATCCTAAGAAGCTAGTTATTTTTTAACACGTGCTAAAAAGAAGTTCACTTTTGCCGGGTATTTTGTTTCTTTTCTTCTACAATATTTTTTTCTAGTGCAATGTGAGGTTGTCTCCTTTCTACATGACGGCTGATTGCTGGATTGCTAGGATTTACCGCTCGTGAAAACAGTCTCCATCTAGGTGCTGGGTGCCAATGTAGTAATGTAATTTATATCTTAGGCCTCTAATAAGCATTGCAATTGTTAATAATTAATGCAGAAAAAGACTGCACGTGCAGGAGTTCCGTGGAAAAAGATACTTCGATAAAGAAGTGGGAGTATTTAATAGCATTCTACTAAAATTGTTTTTTCTCTAAATGTGCATTATTTATTCACCTTCCATCTTGACTTTCTCAAGTTCCTGGCGTAGTTTAGTTGCTGTTTCAATGATGGAAGGTGAACTACCTGAGAGAAGAACTAAACAACAAAAAGGTTTAAAGAATTTTTAAACACCATTCTTGGTTGATAACATTATATAAGAAGAGGGGTTATCTTAAATATGGAGTAAATACACATTATCCAATGCTTCAACACGTAATGAGCAGCGCAGATGTTTTTGCAAGTTGCATGCAGGGCTTAGGTATTGGAGAGAAAATAATAGGAGTCCTTTATAACAAACTAAAAGGAAGTGTGTCACCTTTCAGCTTGTTACTTAAAAAATCAAGCCTGAAATACTAGTGGAACTATTTCCTTACATTACTGTCCATATTTCTTTTGCCCTGTTCAAAGGTGCCAATAAGTAAGTTTCACTCACCTTTCATCCTTACTCTTGGCTCAATAAGAAGTTGTTCAAGTTGTTGTAGTTCATCTTCAAGATCAGCAGTAAAGAGTTCAGGGGGAGGCAAAGTACCTGAAAGGAAAGGTAAACAGAGAGATACACTGTATTTAGCATTCAGTGCCTTACCTCGCATAAATGGTTAAAAACAGGCATTTAACAAACACTTCACATTGTACTAGGCTCATGTGAAGAACTGAAAGTATTAGATAACTATCTCACTTAATAATTATAAAGGAAGAGGGATCATCTTTACTAAGGAATAGTTTCCCTTGAAAATGTATAATTTGAATAAGGAGTGGAAGCATTCATCAATAGTAATAAAATCAGATAACAGGTTCTTTTAAATAAGGATTAATTTCCCTTGAAAAGTGATGATTCGATACAAGGGCGAAAGCCTTTAATAGCATTCTTGGATTTATTTCTCTCTGATAATGAATCAATAAACATTTTATATTCACCTTCCATTCTGAGCCTCTGAAGCTCCATGTGCAATTCAGCTAGTTTTTTCTCAAGATCAAGGACAGGAAAACTACCTGAGAGCAAAGGTACACAGAAATATATTTGGCAGTAAGTGCCTCACCTGATATAAAAAGTTAAAGCATGATAACAATGATGCACGTTTTCCATTATATCATTGTGAAATAACCTATCTATAAGTAATATTTCATTATCACATGCCACAGCTAATTTAATACTTCCTTTAACTGAAGTTGTGGATTAAGAGACAAAACTGAATCGAAAATATTTTCCTTAACAAAACTAAAGTACTGAATAACAGCTGAGAACATTCCATAGTATTCTTGGATGAAAGTAAGGTCAGAAAAAAGGCTAATATCTCAGATAGGGAATAATTTCTCTAAAAGTTTCTCCTGAAAAAAATAGGAATTCATTTCATGGCATTGAGCTATTTACATGACTAAAATATTTGAAAAATATAAAAGGCAAACATTTTTGACATTAGGTCATCATCACCCTGATGATGACCTGGTTTCGAGAATGTTTGGTTTTTACCTATTCAATATTTTTAGCTTATTTTTTAAACCTAAGCAAACTTTATGGACAGTTATTAGCATTCTTGTACCAGTTTCTCTCAAAAAGTGACAATATATTAATTTTTCTATTCACCTTTCATTCTCGGCATCCCAAACCCCTCAAATACTGGCTCTAGCTTTTTCGTTCTCGGCATCCTAATTTTCTCAAATACTTGCTTTAGCTTTTCCTTAAGAGAAGTGGTGGGGAGAGAATGGAGAGAACCTGGGGGCAAAGGTATACAGAGCTTTTCAAAATTCAGTGTCTGACTTTAAACATAAAAGATAACAACAGATATACTTGTGCAAACAGCAAATTATTGTCATGTTAAAGTAAAACAGTGTTAGTTCTTCATTATAACTCCACGATCATCGTTGAAAACAACTATTGTGTATTTTTACCACATGCCGACTCAATACCATCCTTAGCTAAAGTAGAGAGTGAAACAATGCCAAATTTGGATTAGTATACAGTTTACTCTCGCCCTGCGTACCCCTCACTATTACAGACACCTCGCCACTACAAACAAGAGCCAGCCCCTGGGGAAAGCATGAAGAAACGAAATAAATTCCCTTTAAAACGGACTCTTCCTTTTAGCGAAATGTAGACACTTTCAAGCCTCTCAGCACGAAGTTTCACTTGTTTTTTTCTCTTGCTTTAACAGACACTTAATGCTTCATTCAAAATCCTAACTAACATACTATAAAGCGACATTATGAAAAAGGAAAAAAAAGAAACCATTCTTCAACAGGGTGTGAACATGAGAATTTCCTGCTTGCGGCCAGATCTCTTTCCCGTTTGTGAGGCCACGTTGGAAACTTTATTTCATAAGTTAAGAAACGAAACAATTTCCTATCTCTCACACCCCGTTATTACAGACTTTTCGCTATTTCAGACATTTAATCTCCCTGCGAGGGTGTCCATAGCAATGGGAGTCAACCCTCAGGGGTAGGGTACAAAGTGAAATTCATGGTGTTACTTTTAATAGCGACACGATAACAGGTCAAACCAACATGCGATTAACTGATTGTATATGATGTACAAAATCTATCTAAACTACATCATTGTCAGTTTTTTAAGGCATAATTTAAGATCAACAACGAAAAAACTTAGTTTATCATTATATACTGTTTCACCATCCTCAGCCTCTACCATCTTAATATTCCCTTCTAGCAAAACACAGAGTGAGGGAAAACTAAATTGGGTGAAATTTCCTTTAAAAAAACAAATATTTTGAATGAGAACTAAATGTATTTAAAAGCATTCTTGGTTTAGTTTTACCACAAAATTTAATTTAACAGCACATTTTTATTCACCTTCCATTATTCGAATTTCCTCACATAGCTTTCCTAGTTTTTCTTCAAGATCAAAGGTGGAAAATCCAGGAAGAGGCAACATGCCTATAAACAAAGGTATGCAGAGAGATATTACTATTTCTACTAATTAATAGTTAGGAAAAGGCATACCAACTTGCATTAAAGATACAAGTAGGTACATGTACACTGTAGATTATCTTCATTTAAAAACAGAAGCTTTAATTTCTCGTTTCTTTTCCTGAAGTTTCATAACTTCACTCCTACAGCTTTTTTGGCCAATTAACACACAGATGAATTCTTCCACTTCTTCAATGTCAATGCATCAAAACAACAAGTCAGTGATTTGTTATGTTGTTTTCTTTTTTTTCTTGGAGCATGTCAGGTGGAAGTGAACTCAAACTGGAACCCATGCTAGACTTCAACCCGTCAGCAAAAACAACTGAAAGTAGTAAGTCCCACATCTTTTTATTCATTTCAAGGTGGTTTGATAACAGTTTTAAGGGTAGATCAACTAAATCCACTTAAAAGCGCTGGGGTACTTTTCCCAATAACAAAGGGAAAAACTCAACAAACATGAAGAACATTAAATAGTTGATAACTTGCAAGACAATACAACTTTTTACTTGGCTTACTGGTAGAAGCTGAACATAATGAGCAACATTTCAATTACAGTAACTTCAAAAATAATTCAAACTGACCAGTGGTCGGTACCACAATGGGGGGTGAAGTACCTAAGGGTAAAAATGCAGAGAGAGATTAGCATTCACAGCTTCTCTTCAAATGTTTTGTTCTCCTAATTGGAACTGTGTACAATTACATTAATTAATTGATGCCACATCATTGCACTGAGATAATTCTTCAAGTAACTATAACATAACTGTTATTACTGTTCACAACAGCTTTCCATATAACTTACTACAAGTTTTTTTAAATTTCCTTTTCACCTTCCAATTCCACTGTCTCCATAATCTTTGTCTTCTGTTCACTTTTTTCCCATTGTTATTTAGTTATTTTAGGAGGGGGTTGGGTTGGAGTTAAACCTAGTAGGGAACTTATGTCCTATTGTTTTTGCTTCGGTACTGCTTTGTACAAATCCTTAAATAAATAAATAAATAAGTTAAGGATCTTGGAATTCACATCAAATCAAATCTATCATGGATTTATAAGTCGAATAAAGGGCCCCAGGAATCCAGAATTGTTCTCGAAATTGTACATGAGTTTAGCACGTCCAATACTTCAGTACTGCTCTCCAGTGTGGTCTCCACACCTCAAAAAGGATTCGGCTATTTTAGAGAAAGTACGACGCAGAACACCTAGATATGCAATCAGAAACATTGCCCGAGATATGTCATATGAAGAGCGCTTAAAGGTCCTTAAATGGCTAACTCTACATCAGAGAAGATTATTTTCTTCGCTTACCGAGTGCTATAAGACGGCTAACAGTCTTAACGAGCTACACCCATTTGAGTATTTTACATTTGCACATGATTCTCGACCATTAAGAACCAATCATCACCATAAACTTAAACCATTGCCGCAAAGCTAAACAGTTTTAAGTATTCTTTCTGCACTAAGAAGAAATTCACTTTTCCCTGGCATTTTGTTCCTTTTCTTCTAGACAATTTTTATTTTCTAGTGTAATGGGAGGTTTTCTCCTCACTACATGACGGCTGATGGCTGGGTTGCTAGGATTTACTGCTTGTGAAAACAGTCTCCATCTAAGTGCTGGGTGCCAATGGAGTAATGTAACTGATGTCTAAGGCCTCCAATGAGCATAGCAATTGTTAATAATTACTGCAGTAGAAGGCTGCATATGCAGGAGTTCCCTGGAAAAAATTTTACAGTACCGTTTGCGTATATGTTAACTGCGCAGACGAATTACGTACGCTCAGACTCAGGGTAGTCAGACGTGCATATACGATTGTTTTGCGCGCACGGTCGAAAAAATGCGCGACTCATGTGCCTTTGTTATTCAGTGCTATAAAATTCCTTTGTATTTTATCGTTGTGTAAAACAAAGAACTTTTAGGTTTGAGAATGCGACGAGTCGACAACGGAAAACTTACGTAATGAAAAAAGCTATAATGTTCCACTGACGCATGTCGCATCGGTTCGCGAATTTATCGAAGAACGAGCAGTAGCAGTAGATTTGGTTGATTTGAGTTGTGGATAAATCAGTTGGGAAGGAAAATGTCACTTACATCGAAAAGCATCGAAACACGCGTACAATTAAGCGAGTAACGAAGCAAATACTCACTAATATTGCTTCCCAATTTCTTCATTGCAATTAGCGTTCCCTTGAATGCTTGCGCAGCGGAATGTGAACTATTTGGTGTTCGCATCGCTGGTGACGATTTCCTCGAAACTTCGAACTTACCTCGATCACCTTCGATGAGGATCAGAAGCAATACGATTTAAGATTGTGAATGTTTCATTTTATTCATTGCAATCGGCGCTAGCTTCAGCGTTTACGCACAGAAATGTAAACAGTTTCATTTCGCATCGCACCTGATGATTTGTTTGGTTGCGGAGTGCAATATATTACTACAATGAAAGGTCAAGTTGTAGTAAATCGCAATGTCAAAGACGAAGATTCGAAGATAATAACATAAAATACTGGCCTGTTCCTGCTGAAAGTCCGGACACGAATCCTTTAAAGTCGTCGCATTGACAAGCCAACTAACAAGGACGAACTTGTCGCGGGCATCTATCGGTTCAGGGACTCTGGGACTGCTGCTGAGTGCTGTAAATACATTAGCCACCTCCGAAAAGTTATTTCTACTGTAGTCCAACGCGAAGGAAGAGCCTAGTAACAGCTTCCTTTAATGAAAAAACGGCTCCTTTAGGAGCCACCAATTTTCCAAAAGTCCTGGATTACTGTGTTGACTGACATAAGTATCGCCGTATTGATGTTTTGTCCAATTGCACGCGTCTGCGAGTCTTACAAACTTGAACTAAATGTAGCCTGCATTGAATTTTCCCCTTCGCTTTTATGAGCAATTTGGTGAACATCGCTCGATGATTTTACAAATATTAAAACAAGAAACAAATCCGGTTTCCAATAAAAATATGCATATGAGTAAGAACAAGACATAGTCGTGACAGGTAACCATACTGTAACACAACACTATTAAAATAAACTAGTAGAACTTATAAGTTTTTTTTATAAATGGCGCGATGACTAAACCAGTTTTCGAGAATAGCATGTTCACCGATGATAAAGCTATGAAATAAACATTCACGCGTGGGTTTGCATTAAGAATGCGACAACTGGTTACAAACGGACGCTTTAGCTGATTCTACCGAATTACAATACACTGAGAACGAATTCTCAAGCCGTTGTTACGGATGTTTTTTTAATACGAAGTGACAAATTTTGATAAAAGAATTTCGTTGAAAAATGATAAATCATTCATATATTCCGATTACGAAGTCGCAGTAGTTTGTAACAGCATATCGGGAAGGTCGGTTAGAACAGCGATTGAAACGAACAAGTTTTCTTGTCGTTGGTAGCAGGGTAGTATTTTAGTCCTGTTACATTGTAGCCATAAATAGCATGCAATTGCGAATTTAAAAAAATGTGCACGTCAAAAAATCGCACGTGCACGCCAAAAGATCGCACGTGTGCGCATAAGCTTGATACATCTGCCTCTTTAGAATATATGAGATAATCATTTTGTTTTTCTATTCTATTATTTCTTTTTTTTTTTCTATTCGTTTTTCTATTTAGTCTATTCTTTAAAACGGTAAACCGCCAACAATAGAAAAACAAAAGGATTACCTCATATCTACAAACGAGGCAAACGTATCAAGCTTATGCGCGCACGTGCGGTTTTTTTGACGCGCACATTGCTTTTAAATTCGCATTTGCACGCGCGTTTTTTGGTTAATGTATACACGAGCGGTACTGTAATTCTAGTGCATTCTGCGTAAAAATTGATCGATTTTTTCGACGAGGCGTTGTGAGAAATCGTTCTGCGATGGTTAAATATTCCTCTACCATAACGGAACAACTTCTTACGACGCCTCGTCGAAAAAAACCTCGGCATATTTTCTGTTGTCTGTTTCTCTCGGTGTGGCGTTTGAAATGGCCAGTCCGCAGTCTCGGTAAAGTCCAATGTTGATGTTGAGGTTTTGCCGTTGGGAAAGGAGGAAAGGCTTCCCACTAGCTCGCATTTTTCAGCACCGTCGTAGCTGCCCATTGGGACGTCAAATTTTGTATCGACTTTCTTTAGCCAAGGTTGCTGTTTGTGCATAGGGATCGAATGTTTTGCATGTGTTACATGATGTTTCTTCGTCGTTGATGATGTCGTAGGCTGAAGCTAAGTCGAGTACTTTGTTCAGGAGGTCTTGGCTAATGGAGGGATAGAATTCTTCGATGTCAAAGCAAATAAAACTGTGGTGTTTTTTTGTTTTAATGGCTTTAAACACTCGATCACAGATGCCGTGTTTCTCCACTGGTTGAACTTGGATGCTCTCGTGATTTTTTTGTTAATTCTGTCGAGGATTATTTTTCGGACTCTGCCAATATTGGATTTGGTGGGGTTGGTTAGTCGGCAGGTCGGTTTGTGAGCGAAGTTCGGTTTGTGGTCTCTCAGTGTTATGAATGATACAGTACCCCTCGAGTATATGTTAACTGCGAAGACGAATTTACATACGCTTAGACGCACGGTAGTCAGGCGCACATATACGATTGCTTTGCGCGCACGGTCGAAAAAATGCGCAACTCATGTGCCTTTGTCATTCAGTGCTATAAGTATCCTTTGTATTACACTGTTGTGTAAAACAAAGAACTTTTAGGTTTGAAAATGCGACGAGTCTACAACGGAAAATTTACTTAATGAAAAAAGCTATAATGTTACACTGACGCATGTAGCATCACTTCGCGAATTTATTGAATAACGAGTAGTAGCAGAAGATTTGCTTGATTTGAGTTGTTGATGAATCAGCTGGGAAGGAAAATGTCACTTACATCGAAAAGCATCGAAACATGCGTATAATTGAGCGAGTAACGAAGCAAGTACTCACTAATAATACTTCCCAATTTCGGGCAACCCTAAAAGCCGGAACGGCCGAACGGCGGAAAATAAGGTAAAATTTCCGCACATCCCCATACTACTGTTAAACAAATCTGTTTTCCTGATGGCAATGTATTGTTGTCGTCGTTGTTTTCTCTATCCAAGAACTGAATGCATAATGTAGTATGGGGCTGTGCGGAAATTTTTACCGAAAATGACCCCAAATCCTAAAACACGGGACGGCGGAAAATGAACTCAAATCCTAAAACACGGAACGGATGTTAAGGCATGTTGCGCGAACTGTTTGAAAAAAGACTCTCAAGCGCTTGGCACATTCATCCCCACAACGATAACGCGCGTGACTAAAATTAAGTATTATTAATTTTTTTCTTTTACTGAGTGGTATGAATAATAATGAACCATTAGGCATGAAAGATGGCCGCGTTTTCGCGTTGTAAACCTGTTTAAATACCTTTTGCTGAGCTAAATTTGCCATGAGTTTTAGTCGCGGCATAAAAAGTCGCACAGCATGTGAAAACCGACTTCACATAATATATAGATTTAGGCAAGCCTAAAAGCGGAGCTCGCATTTTTTTTCCCGCACGTCTCTTCAACAAAACTAAAGCCCCTACTATGGATAAAGTGCGTGGTAATATTAATGGATTTTCATTCGCAACTTCTCCGTTTCCGTGTAGAGGACTGATTATAAGATAAGTGGTACAGTTGGCCGTGCATGCTAAAAGTAGCACCTTGTACGGTCGGTCGTACGGTCGTACATCCAAATTTTTTCGGCTTGATGGGTTACTATTATTTTGTATAATTATGAGGCTACGCTAAGCGAGCTCCGCTACAATAGACAATTGCAACTTTGACGATCAAGTGCAAAAGTACGCATGAATGACCATGAATGACCACGAATGACCATGAGTGAAAAAGCGGGAAAAAGTTAATCATTAACCAAAATAAAAACAATAATAAGAAAAATATTGCAGTGAATTTAATGGGAAATATTAAACGAATAATATTAATTAAAATATTAAAAAGAACTGTAGCCCTCATTCAATAAAAACCCCGAATAAAAGGAAAAAAGGTAAATGCTCCGATGTTTCCGTTTTTCGAATCATTTCTTGACTGTGCATGACACGTGATTTTATTGTAAGATTTTAAGAAAGCTTATAACAAGATCTAAATTTCTGTTAAGTTGGAATGTGATTTTTTCCTTGTATTCTGTAATAAGTAAAGTCTAGTTGTCAACGCTTCATTCATAGTTTGACCTTTGGGTCGTCGACTGAAGTAACGCAATCGTATCGTTTTTCCGAAAAAAATAGCTTTTAAAAATGTTTTAAGGATCTATTGGTTAAATTAATATATTAATTATATTAAATATATATTTTTTATTAGTCATTCAGAAAGCTTAAAATCCTTTTTTTTGGTTGTCTAAATCAGCCCTACAGTTCTTTTTCCTTTACTATTTCCCATAAAATTCACTGTAATATTTTTCTTTTCTAATCAATTATTTTTATTTTAGTTAATGATTAATTTTTTTCGCTTTTTCATTAGTGGTTACCAGCGGTCACTCGTGTTTACTTTTAGACATGATCCATTTAATGTTTCCCTTCCCTTTTTCGAGCAATTTGGTGTATATCAATCGATGATTTCACAAATATTAAAACAAGAAGCAAATCCGGTTTCTGATAAAAATTTGCTTATGAGTAAGAACAAGACTTAGTCGTGACAGGTAAGCATACTGTAACACAACACCATTAAAATAAGCTAGTGGAACTTATTAGTTTTTGTATAAATGGCGCAATGAACAAACGGGTTTTCGAGAACAGCATGTTCACCGATGATAAAGCTATGAAATAAACATTCGCGTGTGGGTTTGCATTCAGAGCGCGACAACTGGTTACAAACGAGCGCCTTAGCTGATTCTACCGAATTACGATACACTGAGAATAAATTTATTTTGAATGGATTCCCAAGCGGTTGTGACGAATGTTATTTTTTTTTTTTTTTAACCGAGTGACAAATAGCTATTTTGATAAAAGAATTCCGTTGGAAAATGATAAATCAATTATATATTCCGATTACGAAGTCGAAGTAGTTTGTAACAGCATATCGGGAAGGTCGGTTAGAACGGTGATTGAAACGAACAAGTTTGCTTGTCGTTGATAGCTGTGCAGTATTTTAGTCCTGTTACATTGCAGCCTATTCTCTAAAACGGTAAACCGCCAACCATAAAAAACAAAAGGATTACTTCATATATACTAATGAGGCAGATGTATCAAGCTTATGCGCGCACGTGCAATTTTTTGACGCGCACATTTTTTTTAATCGCAATTGCATGCGAATTTTGGCGCGTTTTATTTTTCCTTTTTTCGGTTAACGTATACGCGAGCGGTAATGTAATTCTAAAGAGAACTGGAAGCATTTTAATACTTATCAACTTCGATTATTTTCTCTCTAAACGTGCATTATGTATTCACCTTCCTTCTTCCATTTCTGAAGTTGCTTGAGTAGTTCGTCGAGTTGTACTTCAGTGGTGGAAACGAGGGGATGTGAGCTACCTGAGAGAAGAAGTAAACAGCAAAATGGTTTAAAGAATTTAACAGCATTCTTGGTTGAAAGCATTATATAAGAGAAGGGGTTTGCCTTAAATATGGAGTAGATACACATCATTCCATGTTTTAACATGTAATGAGTGGCGCAGATGATTTGCAAGTTGCATGCAGGGCTTAGATATTTGAGAGAAGATATAGAGGATATTACATGTCCGCTTGGAGGTACGAATTTTATCTTCTCATGCTGGAAGTATCTCTCACTCGTTCACTTTGCTCACTCGTGAGAGATACTTTCAGCACGAGAAGATAAAATTCGTATCCCCAAGCGGCCATGTAATGTTCTGTTTATTTTATAGATACTGATGAAATTCCTACATAAAAGACAACTTTTTTTAAATTCATTTTCGAAACAGCAAAATAGTGCAATTAAAGTGGTCACCTATCGCAAAATGCCTGTCATAAAAATGTTATGAAACTGGGATATAAAGTTATAAAGGAGAAATAAAGACAATAATATTTATATTTTCTGTTCAAAAAAGTCAAAATTCTAATGAAGAGAAAAATTATATAACAGCAAAAGAACCGGCCTGAGCAGGAAGCTCTCTTGTGATTGGCTAGTCATGTTAGTAACCAAGGCGACACCAATATCCTCACACGTGAAAGCGAAAAATAGCATTTCACTGCGCGCGATGAAGATATGACTTTTTAGTAAAAGGAAAAATTCTGGTATTTCATCATTATCTATGTAATAAAATACAATTAGGTGTTCTCCATGACAAACTAAAACCTTTCAGCTTTTTACGTTTAAAAACGCCTAAAATACTAGTGGAACCATTTCCTTGCATCACTTTCCGTTTTTCTTTTTCCCTGTCCAATGAAGCCAATAAACATGTTTCACTCACCTTTCATTCTGAGTCTGTTAAGTTCTGTACGAAGTCCCTTAAGTTCCTCTTCAAGATCAGCAGTAAAGAGTCCAGGGGGAGGCAAAGTACCTGAAAGGTAAGGTAAACAGTAAGATTCACTGTATTTACCATTCAACACCTTACCTCACATAAATGGTTAAAAACAGGCATTACACTAACACTGCACATTGTGTTAGGGTCATGTGATAGCACAATTATAGTGTCAGTTTTCTGATTAATCTCCTATGGTAATTGTTGAAATCAACCATTGAGAAAAATTGTTTCATCATATTAAGCCACAGCCCAACTTAATACTCTCTTTTGCCACGGCACAGAATAAGGAAAAACAAATTAACAAAAAATTAATACAAAAGCTAACACTTTACATAATACTTGAAAGTACAGGACAGCAATCTCACTAATTAAGTATAAAGGAAGCAGGGCTATCTTTACTAAGGAAAAGTTCCCCTTGAAAATGCATATGATTAGAATAAGAAGTAGAAGCATTCATCAATAGTAATAAAATCAGATAAAAGGTTCTTTAAAATAAGGAAAAATTTTCCTTGGAAAGTGATAATTCGATACAAGGGTTAAAGCCTTAAATAGCATTCTTGGATTTATTTCTCTCTGATAATGAATCAATAAACATTTTATATTCACCTTTCATTCTGAGCATCTGAAACTTACTGCATAGTTCATCTAGTTTTTTCTCAAGATCAATGGTTGAAAATAGAAGGACAGGAAAACCACCTGAGAGCAAAGGTAAACAGAAATATATTTAGCACTAAGTGCCTCACCTGATATAAAAAGTAAAGGCATAATAACATCTATTGAGGTCAAGGGAGAGAACAATGAAATTAGCTATCTAAGTATTTTTTATTATCACATGCTGCAGCCAATTCAATACTACCTTTGACTGAAATTATGGATTTAGAGGTAAAACTGAATTGAAAATATGTTCCTTAAGTAAACCAAGTTACTGAATAAAAGCTGAGAGCATTTAACAGTATTCTTGGATGAAAATAAAGACAGGAAAAGGTTAATATCTCAGATAAGGAATAATTTCTCTAGGAAGTATTTACTAGGAAACAAAGGTGAAAATATTTAAAGACATTGAGCTATTTACATAGCTAAAATATTTTAAAAAAGTAATAAAAACCAAACATTTTCAACACTAGGTCATCATCAGGGTGATGATGACCTAGTGTTGAAAATGTTTGGTTTTTACCTATTTAATTTGTTAGCTCATTTTAAACCTTGGCAAACTTTATGGACAGCATTCTTGGATCAGTTTCACCCTAAAAATGATAGGAAATGAATTTTTCTATTCACCTTCCACTCTAAGCATCTTAAGGTTCACACATACTCTCCTCAGTTTTTCTTCAAGATCAATGGTGGAAAGAAGAGGAGGAGATGAAGAACCTGAGAGCAAAGGTATACAAAGCTTTTCAAAATTCAGTGTCTTACTTTACACAGAAAAGATAACAACAGGTATACCTGTGCAAACAGCAAATTATAGTCATGTTAAAGTTAAATAGTCTTAGTTCTCCATTATAACTCCAATGATCATTGTTTAAAACAACTATTATGCATGCCAACTCAATACCATCTTTAGCTGAAGTAGAAACACATACAGAAATGACTGAAATAAATTCCCTCTATACCTGACTCTTGCTATTGCAATAATGCAGACTCTTTCCTGCCCCCCAGCATGACTTTTCACTTTTTTTTTCTCTTGTTGTAACAGACACTTATTTACTCTGTCCAAAATCATGACTATCCGGCATGACCGACATTATGAAGGGAAATAAAGAAACCATTCTTCAATTGGGTGTGAACATATGAAATTTTCTGCTCACAGCCAGATCTTTTTCTGGTTTGTGGAAACTTTATTTCATATGTTAAGAAACAAAACAAATGTTTATTTCTCTTGTACCCCATTATTACAAACTTTTTGCTATTACAGACACTAAATCTCCCCCTGAGGGTGTCCACAGTGATGGGAGTCAACCTTAAGGGGAAAAGTACAAAGAAACAATTCATGGTGTTACTTTTAATAGCAACATGATAACAGGTCAAACCAACATGTAATTAATAGATTACATACTGTGTACAAAATCTATCTTAACTATATCATTGTCAGTTTTTAAAGCATAATTTAAGATCAACACTGAAAAAACTTAGTTTATCATTATATACTCTTTCACCATCTTCAGACTCTACCATCTCAATATTCCCTTCTAGCAAAACACAGAGTGAGGGAAAACTAAATTGGGTGAAATTTCCTTAAAAAAACATATTTTGATTGAGAACTAAATGTATTTAATAACATTCTTGGTTTAGTTTTACCAACAAAGTCAATTTAATAGATGAGTAGCACAATCACCATACCCACTTCCGTAACATGTATGGAAAATGTGAAAATTGCTAGTTTGGGACAAAATCACTTCTTTAGGTCTGTTTTAAATTCACATTTACTATTACAACTGATTTATTTCAAACTATTTTATTTTTGTCACATTTGATTCAAATTTGTATTTACCCATAATCCCTTGTGGGTGTGGTCTTTTTCACAAATAATCAATTTCGAGTTCACTGACATAGTAAAAAGTAGAAATAATAACATTTTGTATTACATGGAGGCTAGTATCTCCCTAGTGAGATCAACTGGCACTCTAAAAACTGACTTTCTGCCTCTTTTTACAACTTGAAGATCACATCACCATTTTTCTATTGGAAATTCAGCTCTCTTTTTGCGATTCTTTTCATTATATTTTAGATTCCTTAGCCTATTCTTTTCCTGCTTTTTCCTCCTCCACTCTTTGATCCTCGCAAGCTTTTCTTCCTTTTCGTTAACCATACCTATTGTCAAGCGCACTTGAAGCGATATTTACGGATGGCTAAATCTCAGAAAAATTATTGAGCTTGAAGACTCCCGACATAACGCTTTTGGTGGCATTTGTGGCAAGACTCCTTTCTCAATATGGCGTCAACATGGTAAAAAGCGTAGCGACTTGGTCAAAAGTGAATATTTTGGCTGTTTCTAAAGATATGGACCCGAAAACTTGGAAATGACAAGAGAAACTTATGAGCATTGAAGTGTAATCGATTTCGAAACCCGACTTTGCCGTGTTTGAAGTATAGTAGCAAAGGAGCAGGTAAGTTGATGAAAAATATTATTGCATAATCAGGTTTTACAAAACTGTAGCGACCGTTTTACACTGATATTTCTCCGTTTATAGTCAATCCTTTAGACTGATTTTTCGCTATTTTAGAACACCAAGTATGAGCATTTGGTTAATGTGTTTTTGTTCCCACAGGATTCCAGTTCAGTCATTCTGCGGACAACAACTTGGTGTACTTCCAAATTCTGAAACCCAGCATTACACAAAGGATACTTAAGAATGATAAATCTTTTCTATGTGTTTTAATAAACTTAATTGAAATGTCAAAGTTTTGCTCAAATGTAGTGTTTATTGTGTGTTATCATTAGGTGTAATTTGTTTGCTCAAACGAGCTTTCTTTCAGTGAAAAATGGATTAAAAAAATTTTACCACTGAGATTATGTTACGCGTTACAACCAAAATTGGCTCCATTTCATCTTTCACGGGTATTTTCTCAAAGACAGCAATGTGGTTTTCTGATTTTTTGCTTTTACTATAATCAATAAGAACAACTTTACCTGTAAGCAAAGATTTGGCTTCAATGAAAATGTAAAACAGAAGAAATCATTGAAAGTTTGCAGTCAACCCCAGGTAAAAATATAAGGTGGGATCCCGCCAATCCCACCTGGGATCCCATGTGTGTCCCAGGTGGGATCCCGCCTTTTTCAGGTGGGATCCCGGGTGGGATTATGGAACATCCCGCATGGGCTCCCACCTGGGATTGTGGAACATCCCGCATGGGATCCCGGGTGGGATTATGGAACATCCCGGGTGGGATTATGGAACATCCCGGGTGGGATTATGGAACATCCCGGGTGGGATTATGGAACATCCCGGGTGGGATTATGGAACATCCCGGGTGGGATTATGGAACATCCCGGGTGGGATTATGGAACATCCCGCATGGGATCCCACCTGGGATTATGGAACATCGCGCATGGGATCCCACCTGGGATTATGGAACATCCCACATGGGATCCCACCTGGGATTATGGAACATCCCGCATGGGATCCCACATGGGATCCTGCCAATTGAAGTTGGGATCCCGCCTTAAATTCCTAATAGCATCCCACCTGGGAAAGCACATCCCGGGCAGGATTAAACCTAGAATCCCACCAATCCGTCTTAGGATCCTGCCTCAAATTTCAGATAGTTTCCCACCTGGGAAATCATATCCCAGTCGGGATTGCATCTGGGATCCTGCCAATCCCAGTTTAGACCCTGCATAAAATTACAGATGGCTTCCCACTTTCAGAAAAATCCTTTGAGGGATCCTGTTTATCACTGGAGACCACAGATTTATGAAATGTACTAGATAGGATATCTTAAAATTAAGAGGATAAAATTTTCTAGGTGAGCTATAGACCCCATCAATCCACTGAGGGTCCAAAACTTTCCAACTAGCTATAGAACATACTGACACCTCCAATGGGATCCCATTGTCTTACCAAGCTATTGATCATAAATGATTCAAACAGTACATGAATACACAGACTATATGTGATAAAGATCTCATAATTTATTTGCAATGAACCAGCATGTGTTTGACTTGTTTCATTAACAAATTTCTTAACCGAACATTCTTAAAGAATAACAGCAAAACTCAGCATATTACTTTTTCTTCATCATTTAAGCAAACCATCTACAGTGTAATAAGGCTCAACGTTTAAAAAAATTGGCTGTTGTGTATCAAAGAATAAAAGAAAGACAAAACCTCAATAATTCATGTTATCAAAATTTTGACAAAGGTACTGATTGAAAGTCTGCTCTCTCTTCAGTCGAATTTTTCAAAGCAAAGCAAGGTCAGAATGTTCCCAAATGTGACTAAAGTAATCTTGAAACCTTACTCATAGATTTATTTCATTGTAAAGTGTAAGCTTAGGAAACTGCAGTATGCAAGCGACCAATTCGATTCTCAGAATTATGAGTTTCAGTTGCGCTGAGTGTTAGGTAAGATTAATTCAAGCCGTTATTTCTATTCTTTGATAAGATTTTGATCACGTAACGAATATGGCAATTTGTACTCACCACAAACTTCTAAAAATCCTAGCTTTAAATGGCCACTCGATCGTTGTTTGAACCAGTCGATATGTCAACTGTTAATTGTCCCTTCTTTTAAGTTCACGGCGCCAACGACTTTCTTTTCATTTAAAACACTCACGCTGTTCTCGTTTTCCCATTAAACCACAATAAAACCAATCTTTAGAAGTGTTATATTAGGCAAAACAGTTGGGAAAAGAAACAACTTGAAGCAAGAGCGGTTAACCGATGAAAAGTACATTCAAAGATGAGCGCCAAATGGAGTTTTATTTGTTTCCGATTACGGGCATGATCACGTGGACCCTTTAGCAAAGAGAATCCGCTGGCTTGACCCATTGCAGTCTCAAGAGAAGCGCGCAACATTATTCTGTCTCTTCTGACCGGTTCTCCTCTCTTATATGGTGGATACCTTGGATTCATGTTTTGATGATGACATAAATAATGATGTGAATTCACTCTATGTAGAAATAATCGACAAGAATCGAACAAGAATGCACGATTTTTGGCCGAAAGTTTTCGAGGAAAGAAAGACCCGAAACCCACTTGAGTTATGTTCACGGCGAAGGTGAGAAACAACACAAGCCAATAACATTAGGAAGTATAAGAGATACCTAGATGATCACAGTGTACCAGTACCCAAATCAACAAGGCTTGACCACAACAAGCGTTCAGCAACACGTTTCAACACAGTTAGCCATCTCGATTCCTCAGTCGGTCTTTCCAGTGAACTATAGCAGTGGTGCCAACAGAGTCAAGTGCGTCTCATAACGGAGAAAACATTTGCACGAGAGACAGAAGCAACTACATGCGATTACAGAGGTGCATTGGAATTCTCGTCTGCAAATGGTTATGCACAGTCCGAAGCGTTACCGAGCTTGGAAAGGGGTGGAGAGAACGAAGATACAAGCTTGTCATTTTATACTACAAGTACAATTTTATACCAGACCTACAAGGTATAGAAAAATTTTGTTGATCTCTGACACAGAGAAGAACAACAAGTAAACTTTAGAGCTGTTATTATTGAACTGTGACTTGTACTTTTCATTTGTATGTAAAGAAGGAATTGTATTTTGCACCAAAAATATAAAGAAGTAATATTTTTTAGGAGGTCCAGTGATTGGGACATTTAAGAAATTAAGTTATGAAAAGAAACTCGGTTTGTACTTCTCACTACTAACAAGTCTTGTTTTAAAAATATTTTCAGATCAGAGTTTCAAATAAAGCAAATTGAAGAAGTCATTTAAAAGGTGTATTTTCTCAAAGGGAACAGTGACCATGCACCTCTGTCTTGTCTGCATGCCAAATATTTGCGGAGTGTGTGGATGATCCATAAGTATTGGAACTCTCACAAAAACGTTTTGTAAGAATAAAAACAGCAAAACAATATTTTCGTAGCTGGGATAAAGAATCCCAGGTGGGATATGTAAATCCCGACCAGGATTCCGGGTAGAATGCATAAGTCCCACCTAGGATCCCGGGTGGGATGCAGGAATCCCGCATTAAATGCGGGATCCCAGGTGGGATCAAATTTTCATCCCAGGTGGGAAAGGTGGGATCCCACCACCTAAGGCGGGATCCCGCCATTCCCACCTGGGATCCTGGGTGGGATTGCCGGGATCCCGCCTATATCCCGCCTGACATTTTACCTGGGACCCCCTATGGGCATGGTGATTGTGCTACTCATCATGGTATTTTTTCATTCACCTTTCATACTTTGAAGTTTCATACGTAGCTCTTCTAGTTCTTCTTCAGGATCAGAGGTGTAAGATCCATGAAGAGGCAGCATGCCTAAAAACAAAGTTGTACTGAGAATTAGCATTTCTAGCATTACATTTATGTATTTTACATTATTTACAGCAATATTAGTATTCAAGGTGTTACTTTCATTTGAGAGATGATAACACGGCAAACCAACAAGTCATGTGACCATCTCTATAAAGTGCATGAAATTTATCCTAAATACAAAATTTAGGGAAAACTAAATTGGGTTTTAATTTCTTTCAAATTAATCTTTTTTATGAAGAACTGAGAGTATTTCAAATAATTGTCAGGTTAGTTTTACCCTAAAGACCCTTACAACCTTAAACATTTAATCCCAAAAGCACACTTTTTTACACTTGACATAATAACTGAACACAAGGGACATATTCACTATAGATATTAATTCAAACTGAGCTTCCTGTTCACCTTTCCTTCCCTGTGCTTTTCCTATAAGTTCTTTTTCATGACCAGTGGTGGGTTTTACAGTGAGGGGTGAAGTAGCTAAGAACAAAAAGTACAGGGAGAGATCAGCATTCAAAGCCTCTCTTCAGATGCACTGTAAGTTGTTCCCCATAAGATGTACTCTTAAAATAATACTAACACTGCATTACTGCATTGAGATAATTCTTCAAAGCTTTGTCAAATAATAAATTGTTATTACTGTTCACAAAAACTTTCCATAATAACTTAATACATCTTTTAATTTTGTTTTCACCTTTCAGTTTCTCTGTCTCAACAATCTTCGTCTTCTGTTTCCATTTTTTCAGCTCTTCTTGATTTTGTGGACTTTCACTGGTTGAACTTATGGAGTGGAATTCAGAAGATGAGGCACCTAAAATCAGATTTAAAAGAAAACAAATAAAGGGGCAATCACTAAATACTGACATTGAAAACCATACAACACACCTCAAATCATTTTTATAAAAACCCCACACACAAATACAGGTAACATTTTCTTTTATAGCTTCTCCAACTAAAATCTTGCCAATTTTTATTTTAGCTTGTTTTATTTTGTTTATATTTGCATGCCTTCTGATATCCTGTTGGCTCCAAAGCTAAAACTGAAGCTGTATTGTAAGCATCTTGATCTGCACGTTTCACATGTTCCACATCAACTTTGATGTTTAATTTCTGATCTGTTGATTTGGAGCAAAGTGTCCAAGTTAAAATTGTGCTTCAGCTGCACTTGAAACCATTAATATCACATTAAACTTCAAACATATTGGATAATAGTCTGCTTGCAGGTCCTCAGTATTAGAGGGCTTCTACACCAGTATTCCTTCTCCTAAAACCTGAAATTGCACACCAATCCTCCAATTAAACAGTACCCAGTACACAAAATTTTTGTAACATGACAAATTTCATGCGCGTATTTGCAAGATGGAAGAAAGTGGGAAAAAGTTAATGGTGACTGAAAGGGAACTATTACTGCTAGTTTATCCATATCAAAACATTTACAGAAATAAATCATGCAATCTAGCATGCATGCAATGATAGCATGTTATCTACATGTACCTGCCTTCAGTCTTTTACAAAAGGTTTCTGTATTTCCACATACAGTGTCAAGGTAAAAAATGGAGAGATTAACATTCACAGCTTCTCTACAAATGTTTAGTTCCCATAAATGGAACTGTGTACAATTATATTAAATTATTGATGCCACATTATTGCACTGAAATTATTCTTCAAAGATTTATCAAATAATTGTTATTACTGTTCACAAAAACTTTCCATAATAAATTAATACAAGTTTGTAATTTCTTTTTCACCTTCCAATTTTGCCGTCTCCATAATCTTTGTCTTCTGTTCACTTTTTCCCCATTGTTCTTTTGTTAGTGGACTTTCACTGGTTGAACTTGTGGAGTGGAATTCAGAGGATAAAGCATCTAAAATCAGATTTACAAGAAGACACACATTTTAAAAGATAAAGACACCTCAAACTATCTTTAAAAACACCCAACATGCAAAAACTAGAAAAAATTTTCTTTCATGGTCCCTCCAACAAAAGTCTTGCCAATTAACCTTTGATTAATGAATGCAATCAAATAAATTAAGGAAAGATAAATACAACCCTATAGAGAGGAAATATTGAGCCAGATGTCTTAGTAGGAAAGATAACAGGCTACTGGGAAGAGATGTTTGAGAAGAACAAAACATCAAATGAAATGTCTTGCAAACAAATTACTTCTTGCATTGGCATGGTTTACATACAGTAGTCAGCATGAATTTATTGAAGAGACAAGTTCCCTAACTCTTGATATAAAAACTGGACCCATCCCTTCATGACATGTACCTTATCATACGTCATGTGGAAAGACTGATGGATTTTCAAATAATTCATAGTAGGACCAGGCCTTGATACATTCTTTCTACCAACCTCTAAGTGCATCTTTCTCAAAGAACATTTTGCATGCATTGTACTCTTCTATGTCCATTGTTGTCTTCAGCCTCAGCTCAGCCAGGTTCAGTTCCTTCAAGATCTTCTCAGTTACAAAACAATTCTGAACCACTTCACCAAGATGACCAGATGAGTAATCTGTCCACAAGCCCTCCAAGATCTTAAGAGATTCACACTTCACAGTTATCACTAAACTTCCTAAAGAGGTACCAGTAATGATGAGCCTCATTTCTTTTACATACTCTTTAAACTTATTGTGCTCTTCACTGGAACGTGGTGGTGTGGTCTGGAGATAATTTCTAACGATTGATATAAAGAGTTCCTCTTTAAGAGTCTGGAGATCTACTGTCTGTGGATAGGACACACTTACAGATGCAGCTGATGTAGTAGATGCTCTACCCTGCTGAACTTCTTGGCATCTGACAGACTCTGTTGCCAACATGCCAGTCTGCATATTCTGTCTTTCAGGTTCCAAGTCATCCACATCAACCTTAATATTCATTTCACCACCTGTTAAATTGTAACAGTCAAATTTAATCCTAATATAACAAGGTTTTTTCACCTCTTACCTAATTAATCATTAAAATTTGAGAACATTACAATGAGGCAACACCAATCAAACATAGAGCTAATGTTACCAATGAACAGTATATATATATTGTTTCAGTTTCAGTTTCTTTAATTTGCTTCTTTACCTCATTCCATGGTAGAATCAAAATTCTGATTGATCTAAAAGATTACAGTTTTAAACATGGAAATATCTATATAGACTTAGCTAAGGTGAAACATGGGCATGCCTAGCATGCCCGAGTTATTTTTTTGGCTGGGTGGGTCAAGATGGGACACTAAATGTGTACTTAATGTTTTCATTTATGTAAGTCAGAAAAAGAGCATAACTTTTCAAGGAACAAAAATATTGCATTCCTTCACCTTAAAAGAAAGAAAATAAAACCTAGTTTAACTAAAGTCACACCATGTCATGTATTTTATGATCCATTTTCTCTATTGTTCAAATACTTCTAGGCAAAAATAAAATGAATTAGTGCCACACTTGCTGTATTCTCCTTTGCAGTTGTTGTTTGGTCTCACTACACAACACCCTCTATTTCCTGAGAGAGTGCGTTGCGTGACAAGACTAAATAACAGATACAAAAGAAACCAAGCCTACTGCTGTTCCTCTAACAGAGAGAAAATCAAAATGAATTGCAGTCAAGTCGCCGACGGTTCAACTCGCCAACGCCAACTCGCCGACGTATAAAATCGAGTAGAGACGTCGGCGAGTTGGTTTTCAATCCAGTACAACTTATTAGAAGTTAAACATACAGAAAAGTAAAAGATGTTTAGTGAAAAAACAGTTTTGTTTCCTTCCAACAAAGTTTTTAAGGATCTCATAGCGAATAAAGCAATGTAAACATCGCCAATGAATGTAAAAGCTTCAGACGCGAACGAGATAATTATTGTGTGACAACAACACTGTGGAACTGCCAAAAACCAGTTACAAATAGTAACGCTCTTGATGAAAGGGAACCAGCGACTGGTTTTGCTGTTATTCCTTACATACAGGGTGTTACTGAACCCATCAAGAGAATTTTGAATAGCCACAACGTTAAAGTTGCTCAAAAACCTTTTCAGACTTTGGGGCATATTTTCGCCAAACCTAAGGATCCTGTCACGAAAGAACAACGAACCGACGCCATTTATTCTATTCCTTGCAATGACTGTGATAACGAATACATCGGACAGACCAAACGCCAGTTTGGTACACGGTTAAAAGAGCACCAAAAAGCGGTTTTTCTTTGCAAAAAGGAAAATTCAGCTTTATCGGAGCATACTTGCCTAACCAACCATACAATTGGGTGGGATAATTCTAAAATTATCACTACTAATCGGCGTTACCATCAGCGCCTTTGTTTGGAGGCTTGGCACATTAACTCCGCCCACGCTCCTTTAAATCGTGACGATGGCGGTCTGCTTCCTGACGCCTATTTACACCTCGTCAGAAAAAAGGCCGCTAATTAGTGATCGTATAAAAGGACCTCTTGTTGCAGCGTTTAGATCACCCCTGATGAAGGCACTAGACAGGAGTGTCGAAACGTTGGGTCTATGAATTGTAACTTCTTCGGTTACATTCATTAAATCTGCAAACCAGTGTAGCTTCAAACTATGTCTGATTGTCCACCTGGTTGCCGTGTGAACTTTAATATATTTTATTTGCGAGAAAAGTATGGTCAAACTGTTGTTACAAGGGTCAACCGGCTCACTAACATCAGAGTCCGCATTGCTAAGTATCGCTGTCATTTGTATTTCAATCACCGTTGCAAAGAGAACCATGTGCTTCCATCGAGTTTGAGATTTCGGCCTCCTTTACGGAGTGCTAAAGGATACAAGCTCATGGTCCGTACTGGTTTTTCTTTTCTCAAGCTACGAATAGATGAATGTCACAGTTCCATACTGCGGTTACGTACGTTATTCTCTCGTTCACACAGGGAACTCTCTGCTTTGATTAACAACTCCGAAACTTCCTGGGTCGAGGAGTTTTGCATTTCGAAAGAACTGCAGACGTTTACCAAACAGAGAGAGAAACATGACAGAAAACTCCGTCACTTGCTCAGTAAGAGGTCTCCTGTTAATTCAGGCTCATCTCTGAAAGATAAATGGGTCATGAACCTTTCCTCCAAGGAATTATCCGCGCTGGAACGGAGTGGTTTAGAGAAGGGTCTAAAGTTTGCTATTGCTCCTCGCAAAATACCGACCGCCGAAATTGTCGCCGCTGTTGAGGAGAGTATCTCTCAACTCGACGACGATCGTAGGCATTTGGTAAGAGCAGAAGTAAGTAGCGTACTCAGACGTGCTAAACCTCCTCCCAAAAACATTCAAAAGGATGTTTTCAATGCGCTTTTAACTCTCAAAAAGGATCCGGACAGGCTCGTATTATCTGCTGACAAGGGTAATTGTGTTGTGGTTATGGACAAACAGCAATATCACGACAAAGCTTTGTCTCTGCTCAATGACAAGAGTACGTATGCTGTCTTAAACTCTGACCCAACCAGTAAAACTCAAAGAAAGTTAAACAAAATGTTGCTTGATTTGAAAAAAGCTGGCAGAATTAGTGACTCTACGTACAAAATGTTATACAGTAGTGACGGCTTATGTCCACGTTTTTATGGCTTACCTAAAATTCATAAACCGGGAATTCCTTTGAGACCCATTGTCTCTTTTGTTAATTCTCCGACTTATGCAATTTCTGGTTATCTTGCGAGAATTTTGTCGCCTGTTGTTGGGAATACTGATTACACTGTCAAAAATTCCTGCGAATTTACGGATTTCATAAGAGATAAAACTCTTGACGCTTGTGAAGAATTAGTATCTTTCGACGTTGTTTCGCTCTTCACTAAAATCCCAGTTGATCTTGCCGTTAAGGTGGAGGAAAGACTCAGAGAAGATGCTTCCCTAGGACAAAGAACTTCTTTGCCTGTGGAGGATATTATTCATCTGCTGTCTTTTTGCCTCAAAACCACGCAATTTACATATAACGGCACATACTATCAACAAGTTTTTGGTACAGCTATGGGTTCGCCTGTTTCTGCTGTCATTGCTAACATGGTAATGGAAGACGTGGAACAAAGGGCCTTAGCCACTTCACCGGTTAAACCCTTTTTCTGGAAACGATATGTCGATGATGTTATTTCTGCGGTATCCGGTAATGAAGCGGAGCGCCTCTTGTCGCATTTGAATTCAGTAGAGCCGTCGATCCAATTCACCCTTGAACGTGAAAAGGATAGACATTTGCCCTTTCTTGATTTAAATGTGTCTAGAGGGGTTCAGGGTAATTTAGAGACAAGTGTCTATCGTAAACCCACCCACACCGACAAATACCTCGCTTTCGATTCTCACCATCCTATTTGCCATAAAAAGTCTGTAGCCAAAACTTTACTTAGGAGGGCTGATTGTCTACCATCATCACTCGATTCGAAGGCTGAGGAGAGGAAATATGTTTCCAATGTCCTAAAGGCAAACGGCTATACAAAAACTTTTCTCCGTAACTGCCAAAAACCAGTTACAAATAGTAACGCTCTTGATGAAAGGGAACCAGCGACTGGTTTTGCTGTTATTCCTTACATACAGGGTGTTACTGAACCCATCAAGAGAATTTTGAATAGCCACAACGTTAAAGTTGCTCAAAAACCTTTTCAGACTTTGGGGCATATTTTCGCCAAACCTAAGGATCCTGTCACGAAAGAACAACGAACCGACGCCATTTATTCTATTCCTTGCAATGACTGTGATAACGAATACATCGGACAGACCAAACGCCAGTTTGGTACACGGTTAAAAGAGCACCAAAAAGCGGTTTTTCTTTGCAAAAAGGAAAATTCAGCTTTATCGGAGCATACTTGCCTAACCAACCATACAATTGGGTGGGATAATTCTAAAATTATCACTACTAATCGGCGTTACCATCAGCGCCTTTGTTTGGAGGCTTGGCACATTAACTCCGCCCACGCTCCTTTAAATCGTGACGATGGCGGTCTGCTTCCTGACGCCTATTTACACCTCGTCAGAAAAAAGGCCGCTAATTAGTGATCGTATAAAAGGACCTCTTGTTGCAGCGTTTAGATCACCCCTGATGAAGGCACTAGACAGGAGTGTCGAAACGTTGGGTCTATGAATTGTAACTTCTTCGGTTACATTCATTAAATCTGCAAACCAGTGTAGCTTCAAACTATGTCTGATTGTCCACCTGGTTGCCGTGTGAACTTTAAAACACTGTGGAAATTCATCATGTCAATCGGTCAGATTTTTTTAAAAAAACTTGGCTTTATAGACAAGATCTCTAGAAAAACCAATTATTTTTATTTTCAACAAAGTTTACAAGGATCCTAAGGCGAATAAAGCAAGGTGAACATCGCCAAGGACCAAAAAAGGTTTAGACACAAACGAGTTGTTGTGAGAAATATGAGAATGGTGAAAAGACAGCGGCCCAATTATTGAAATCGATGTCGAGATTACACGGACCTTCAAGAGCAGAATAATTGCATGATATGTATAGCTTTCAAATGTTCACTTGATCTTTATAATATATCAAATCGTATCGTAAATCAAACATGCTCGATCATGAATAAATCATTCTTTAAAGTTAAAAAAACATGTCGTTCCGCCTGGTTGTTATGGTTGTCACACAATAACTCGTTCGCGCCTAAAGCTTTTTTGGTCATTGGCGATATTCACCTTGCTTTACTCGCCTTGAAATCCCTATAAACTTTGTTGGAAATAAAATGTTGTTTTATTTTGCGAAAGATCTTGTTTAGAAAGTCGTCTTTTTTTAAAAATCTGCACGAGTGACAAGAGAAGTCTTTACAGTGTCGTTGTCACACAATAACTCGTTCGCGTCTAAAGTTTTTTTGATTAATAGTGATGTTTACCTTGCTTTCTTCGCCTTGAGATCCTCATAAACTTTGTCGGAAATAAAAAGAATTGTTTTTTTAATAAAGGTCTTGTCTATAAAGTCAAGTTTTCTTAAAATAATCTGATCGACTGTCATGATGAGTCTTTACAGTGTTGTCACACATTAAAAACAACTGCTACCCTGAAAATTGAATATTTAACACAAAACATGTGAGCTTTGTCATTATTTCAAATTTGATTAAAACTTCTGCATTTCTGATGCAAGGTGATAAAACTTACCAAATGCTAGATTGCACATCTTTGTAACAAGGAAATCACAATGCTCCTCCCAGCTGAACTGCTGCAAATAGTTTCCACGGAGAATCTTAGCCTCTCTAAGTCGTACATTCCTTTTTTTGTTACGCACAACTTTTATTGCTCTGGCCCAGTCTGCAGGATCCTCTGAATCCACTATACACTGGGACCCAATAGGCACCTCCCTTAAGGCTTCTGCAATTCCTGAGTTACCACTGACAAGTACTGGAAGACCAGCAGATATGGCTTTGAGAGCACTCAACCCAAATCCCTCAGTTTTTGAGGGCAATAGAACAATATCCACCATAGAGAATAAGTTAGCTAACGTTTTCCTGTTTTCATCAAAGCTGCAGATAATTAGCTGATTATGATCAATACCACACTGAAGTAACTTGTGTTTTAATTCATCTTCTTTTCCACTCTGTTTAGAAGCAAACTTGAGTTGGTAAGATTTATCCTTCAGGTTAGCAATAGCTTTTGCTGCAATTTTGTATCCTTTAACATCAAAATCTTCACTATCACCACTCTCAATAACCAAGGCACAAAATGTTCTTCTTTCATCATTAGCTTGCTGCACATCTGAAAATTCAGAGAGAATGCTTGGCGTCAGGTTAAAAACATCTTTTTTTCCGAGTTGGTTCTTATATGCTTCAGTTAGCTTGAGGCCAACTGTTACAACTTGATCAGCCATTTCACATAGTTCTATCTCTGTTTGCTGCATTTGTTGACCTTCAGAAATGTTTTTGTACATGCCAATTTCTTCAGGGGCAGTATGGACAACTTGAATCCATTTGCAATGACTGTAATTTGGATTTTTCTTTATGAGTGGAATTTGCTGACCAAGAGCTACTCCATGTCCTACTACACAATCCATAGCATGGTCATCAGGTACACAGGCTAGCCAAAGAACTGGTTTTAAACCAGGCAGTTTAACTGCTTTAATGAGTTTAACATTGTAATTATCAGCATCTTTCTTGTCCTCCTCACTACACTGAGGTAAGAAAACACTGACTTCCACATTGGGATGTTTAGCCATCTGTATTGCTAGCTCTCTGTTGATGGTTGTCAAGTCTCCATCACTTGATGCTTTCCATTCAGCACTCAAAAGGGTTACTCTCAGTTTCCTTTCCCTGATGTCATTCTGTAAACAAAAGATTTTTGTGATTTAGAAAATTCAATTAGAGTTCTAGAAATGATAAAAAAACCCTCATTTTATGAATTATTTTACTTTTGAAAGACACTTCTTAATTTTCAATTCATTTGGTAACTTCACAAACTCAATAAACATATAAGCAAACATTGTACAAAATTTCCACAAAACAGTAAAGAACAATTGTTGTGGATATCAGGGTTAGTGTGATACAACTGTGTAGTCTCATTAACCCCAGGAAGTGACCTGCATCTGTAACTTTTTGATATCACACAAAAAATGTTATACACAAGGTTTTTCTCTTCAAATATTCAGAGTCTGGTTTTGCATGACATGGCAAACTTTAAATCATCCAACTCTAACCAGTTAACTTGTATCATTGTTAACTTGTTATCATTTATTGTCTTAAAAATGAGAAACATGAGACATAGAAAGAAATTTTCATTAGCTTCAGTCATTCAAAAATAAAAACTTACTACAATCATCTATCTGGACTCTAAATCTTAAACTGATGTGAGCTTATTTTACTCTCCTTTAAATTTTTTTCCATATTGATCTCCTGCTGAATAAATACCAGCAATATATTATCACAAAGTTTTGTATCTGCAGGCATGTAATTTGCTCCTGAAGTGACAGGGATGCACTGACACCAGAGTGAACAAACCAACTTGGTCGCAGTTGTGATTTTAAAAAGCAGTTGTTTGATATCTTACCCTTAATTGTTCCGACATCATAGGAACTTTAACTGTTGAATAGGAAGTTGCTAAAATAAAAATTAAAAAATTAATTACTTTCATAAGTTACTCTGAAAAAATGTCTTAAATTACTAATATTAGACTACCGTATTAAAAGACAACTGGAAATTACTGTTGGTGGCATATCACAGAGGAATCATATTGTTTTTTTGATGAGTGAAATTTAATTGACGAAATTTATCCATAATAAAATTTCTTCCTCCCGAATCGCAAAGAGAAATGAAGTTTGTTTAAGGTACCAATGCAGAGGAGAGGTACATGTACTTCAGTGCTGAAAAGAGGTTATTTCAAAAGCGCTAAAAATTTGACTAAGTGTTTCGCGATTACGTGCAGGGTTTGAATGAATTATTCTACATGCGATTCCAGTAAATAATTATCAAAAGTTGTCACATAGTTTTTTCATGTATACTTGTTATCAATATGTAATCGCAAGATGTTTGTATGTCGCAGAGTGGCAAAACAAGGTATCGTGGTCGTTTTAGATCGGGAGCTTTTGGTCTGGTTTACCAGAAACCCTGAGTGATCCGACTTTGGTTGGTATGTTATTTGAGTGAAGGTTCTGTATCTGTTCCCTTCAGTGTCAGTCTGGAGCTACAGTTCGCTGATAATCTGAAATCAATTCAAATTGAAACTATGACTTACGGAAAAATAAACTGGCGAAACACCTCGTTCATCATTAGTAGTATTTCACGTCGATTTCCGCCTTCATCTAACACTCTCGGTTTAACGAATTATTTTAATTGGTTCATTCACTATCACGTGACAGAATTGAGCGGGGGGGGGGGAGGGGGATCCCTCCTTTCAGGTTATGGCTATTATACACCGCACTGCTGGTTTTGTAGCCCGTAGGTATGTTGCCGCTGGATAAATGCACGCTTGGGAGGTTGGGAGAACACTCGATAAGCTGGAAACCATTCCGCTTCGCGTCGTGGTTTCCTACGCTTATCTCGTGTTCTCCCAACCTCCCGCGTGTTTAAATCAGGCTATGTAAACACGGAAACTATTCTACATTTCTTCAATCTAATTTGATTTTAGAAGCTATTTTCATGTCTGGACGAGACCAGACTCATTTTAGCAATGCGCCAAGGATTTTTGCCGCTGAATCAATTCTTTTCTTAACTTCGAGATTTGATGAATTGACGATCGTGACATGCTCAAGTATGTCAGGAAAACAGAAGACCTTGGTAGTAGACTAGTTAACCAGTCAGACTAGTTATGTAAGATTGTTAACGTCTATATATTTAGTTAGCCTATTGTTTCCTGTATGGGGTGTGTAGAATGCACCTATACGCGTAGAATTCATTCAAAATACTCTCGCGGCTTCGGCAGTTTAAATTTTGTCGTTTTCGCAGGACCATTATTCAGTTTGTTTTAGTTAACATGGAAACACAGCTGCAGTATACAATACAGTTTATGTAGCCATTTCCAGGGCCGTGAAGAAAGTAAATGTCATTTTTCTGGCGGTTGTTTATTTAGGTTTTTTGTCGCTTTCCGCTCAAGTTTTTTCTCTACCGTAAAGTTTGTTTATGTGTATATTTCTCTCAGTTTTAACCGCATGATACGCTAAGGTATCGCTTTCCCGCAAAGTATCATCGCACGGCTTGTCAAGTCAATAGAGATAAATAAATGCGTGTTCAAATGTCATTCTTGGTGTCAGCATCGAATCCACTGAGTTGGCAGTTATAAGTTAGACTAGTTAGAATAGTCAGATTAGTTAGACTAGTTAGACCCGCGTGTTTTACAAAAGTCCTGATTTTGAGGTATCAGTTCTTAATCTGACAGAGTTACAGCAGATCGCTCGGTGATCTACAATTTTCTTAATGTTTTCAGTATCAGTAGCAACCAGGACAAAATTGCTGGTAAACAAGAGCTCTCTGACATGTAAGTCTCTTGTCCTTGGTGGAGCTTTGAGTCTCTGATCTGCTGAACAGTTATCAATGTAAACGAGCTTTTAGGACTGGTCATTATTCATTACCTTTAGGGGGGTCAGAGAAATTTGATTGTGTCACAATAAAATTTACCCAATCCCCCCTAATGCTCTGTAATATTCTAATGTAACCCCCCCCCCCCCAAAAAAAAAAAACACGCACACACAAACACTTCCTTAATGGTCAATTCTCTACATTCCCCACTTTATGCTCTGTTAGCAACGACTGATCTTCCCCCACTCCCACTGAAAACCATGTTATCTCCAAAAATCCTCTACCCTTACCCCACCCCCAGGCGAATGACTGGTCCCTTAATAACTTACACGGTATCCGGTTAGATCGCTCCATGGTTAGATCGCTCCAAGTCAGATCGCTCCATACCGAAGTCAGATCGCTCCACTCAAAAGTTAGTTCGCTCCATCAAATAAGTTACTTCGCTCCATACATAAGTTACTTCGCTCCATGTAGAAACCTAATACACTAACTTACTTCTGATCTTTATAGTTTATAGTTGATGATGTGTATTGCGTCTTGCGATCGGTCGAATTACCGATGTTGGAACAAGTGTTTCAGTGTGTAATGAACGTAGAAAACTAATAAACTAACTTACTTCTGATCTTTGTAGTTTATAGTTGATGATGTTGCTTGCGATCAAGTTGCTGAAATATAAAGTGATCGACGATTCGTTCACAAATAAAATAAAAGAAATGACCAACAATGAATATGATTTATAAATATTGCTTTCAAAGAATCGCCATTTTTAAAAGTTGTCAAATCCAGCCGTGAGTGAGACTGGGTTCGACTCCGGTTAAAAATGGCGAGTCTTTAGTCGCGTTACAATACTCTTTCTTTTCTTTTCCCTTATCCTTCTGTCTTTTATCAACCTTCCACGTTAGTTTTCTTCATGGAGCGAAGTAAGTTATGTATGGAGCGAAGTAACTTATGTGATGGAGCGAACTAACTTTCGAGTGGAGCGATCTGACTTCGGTATGGAGCGATCTGACTTGGAGCGATCTAACCATGGAGCGATCTAACCGTAAACCGCTTGATTCTCAATTGGTCCGAATCAAAACTTGTTACAAACACAACGTATAAAAGTACAAAATCTCCTGCCTTAAAAACTTTTGTTTCCATATTTAAAAATTGTAAAATATATATATGTTTACTATACAACGACTTCTCATGTTGTTAATTAGAAAACATCTACATTACATTCCTACCTATTCTATTGCACTGAATAAAGGGATTATACTATTACAAAAACTGCATTACCTGTAAAATCACTTCGTATCAAAAGTAATTTGAAGAGTATTACCTAATTCTGTTCTTGATAAAATCATCAGCTAAGCTGAAAAAAATTACAAGTTAGAGTAAACTTTTCCTAAACGATTTCCTATGTTAAGTCTGATTAAACAATTGAAAGAGAATACAATAGTTCTTCCAACACCTAAATCTGCCCCAGAGATCTTAGTAAACAACAAAGGGGGGCACTTTCAACTAAGCTGTTACATAGTATCTTTAAGTCGACGAACGAAAACTATCATCTGCCGTTAAAATTAATCATATTCTTATACTCTTTGTACTTCACTAGTTCACGGAAAATGTTCGAAATTTTGTCTTTAAGAAGACAACATATTCACTAACTACTTTGTAAAAAATATAACTCAATATTCTTTGCACTCTATGGACCTCTCTTACACAGAATTGTATCTACGCTGCCAGAAAAAGACTCATCTAGCTACTGTATTTTAATCCACTTTCTAAAACGAACTTAACATGAACAAAAGATCAATGAAAGTTCAATAATAGTTTGTCTAACGATGCCATCAATTGTTGATGGCAACGTTTTGTCAGCCACACCGAGATTCGTTAAGAATACACAGTTTGATCGACAACTCATGGAGAGTAAATAACGTGAGATAACCTTCCAAACTATTATTTATCCAATCATAAAAATGAAATTTTAATTGACATGCAATAAGTAACGAGAGGAGACTATCCGAACTTTATGCCTCTGACTTAATGGAACGGCAAAGTATCAAGCCTTCTCTGACTTCCCAGTCAGTGCCAGTTATCGCTTCAAACAAACGCTGTTTGCCCACGTTGTTATATTCCGATTTCCTCGCAGGTTTAAGCTCCGCAGTTTGCAGTTGGTATCAGTTAAGGCTTTACACAAGTACTTTATTCCTTTATTTCCTAATTCATTGTCACTGATGTCTAGACTGGCTAATTTACAGTTAACTCTGGCTAGCGCGTTACCCAAGTGCATGATTCCTTTGTCTCTTAACTTATTGAAACTGACGTTTAAGCTGGTTAATGTACAATTAACGCTGGTTAGCGCGTTACACAAGAGCATCATTCCTTCGTCTCTTAACCAGTTGTCACTGACATTTAAGCTGGTTAATGTGCAGTTAACGCTGGTTAGTGCTTTACACAAGTGCATTATTCCTTCGTCACTTAACAGATTGCGTCTGACGTTTGAGCTGGTTAATGTACAATTAACGCTGGTTAGCGCGTTACGCAAGTGCACCATTCCTTCGTCTCTTGACCAGTTGCCACTGACGTTTAAGCTGGTTAATATGCAGTTAACGCTGGTTGGCGCGTCACGCAAGTGCATTATTCCTTCGTGCTCTGACAGATTGCGACTGACGTTTAAGCTGACTAATTTACAGTTAACGCTCGTTAGCGCGTTACACGAGTGCACTATTCCTTCGTCTCTTGACCAATTGTCACTGACGTTTAAGCTAGTTAATTTACAGTAAACGCTGGTTTGCGCGTTACACAAGAGCAATATTCCTTTGTCTCCTAACCCATTGAAACTAATATTGAAGCTGGTCAAATTACAGTCACTACTGACGAGCACTTCATACAGTTGTTCTAATCCTTGACTTTATAAAACAATGCTATACAGTGTCAAGCTGTAAAGTTCCCTCTGAGTAAGCGCCGTACTCAAGCTCTACAAACCTTTACCAGATATCTGACCGCTAGAGAGGATTAATCTAGTTACTTTCTAGTCCCTGTTGGTGATCGCTTTACACAGTGTTACCAAACCAGGGTCGTACTCTGTTGGCCACGCCTTCAAAGTGCCTGAGCTCGAGCTGTACAAAGGTGGACTAAATGTTTCCTCGTCCTCGTCCTCGCCCCAAACTTCATGATACTAGTCCCGTGGTAGTTTACGTGTAGCTAGCTTATCAATAAACAGCAGCACCACTTGCCATACACCTTCTCTGATGTGAATAGTAAGGAATCTTTTCAATTCGTCTTTATCCATCGCTCCTCGTAATTACTCTAATGCACGAGGCGATTGGAAGGACAAAAAGACAAAAAGAAATATTAATCTTTTACTTGAAAACTACAGCGGAAAAAAACCCGCCTTTACATTTTTTTTTTATCTCAAAACTGACAAACCATAAAAAATACCTCGGCAAATTGTAAACAAAAAGAATTTCGAGTCTCCGTGTTTCGACTGATTATTGAATCATCCCAAGTCAAAGGAAACCAGTTGATAAAACAAGGAGACTGGCAGTATGAACAATAAATGTCGTGCGATACCAAAAACATTAATAAGCTTATTTTCATTTCCTTTTCCAAGTCTTAAAATTTTAGCAAATCAGTTACGAAGTTGTAAATCATTATCATTAAGTTTTATTCCAGAAGAGTATTTTCCCTCACTTGTAATCTAAAAATCTAGAATCGAAAATGCTTGTTAGATATGTTGTTGTGTTGTTTCTAAATCTGGTTTTAAAGTTTCAGAACTTTTTCAAAATCACAAGA